GGCAACATATGTGGAATATATCCAAAGATCTGATTTGTCACAAGGCAAGAGGCAACACAGCAACTCAGAGTGATTTACAATTTAACAGACTTGGATTTTGAAAATCAGTTACTGGATGATGAATACTGTAAAAATATATTCACACTTTAATGTCACAGACTGAAGGAAGAGGAGTAAAGAGCATTAACCAAAGCTTCATAAGCTTTGCCACTAGGTTAAATACTGGCTTTTGCTAAAATTAAAAAAAAAGGAATATATCTGGAGGGGAAGGACCCTAGGATAATATTTAAAATAACGACAACAACAAACCTCCTACTTCCTTTATCAAAATAGAATATTTTTCCACAGTCCACTTATTGTTAAACAAAACCAACTGTTCTTTTGAATAATCATTTTACAAATTCACTTTTAATGGAAACAGAAGAAATAATTGAAATAACAAATATAACTACTGTGTGCAGATGCGGTGGAAAAACCAGAGACCCGAAATATGGCAAAGTCAGTGCTTCATAAACAGTCAATGGATTTTTCTAAAAATACTTTTTGCTAATGGCAAAGTTCAACACCTCAGAAAAACTCTGAATTAAGATCTTAGAATAAGTTTCCAAGCTGTACAACATGGTTTCAAATACACTACCCTTGTTGTTTGTAAGGCCGCATTGAAGTTTAGCTTAACAGTCATAAGCCATGTGTTTGAACATCTTATGAGAGGTGACCGGCAAAGAAACAAGTTTTTTCCTTGTGTACCCTACTACCTATGAAGAGATACCATTTCTTTCCAAATATGTCCTTAAAAAATTTCCTTAAAGATATGATCTTGGAAAAAAAAAAAAGTCCAGGTTGCTTCGTTGAATCATCTGGAAAAATGTTTACACTTTAAAAAGTGACAATGTAGCACTTTGAATTCTCTGAGAGTGTTCTCTTGTTAATCTATAAGTACCCTCTCTAATTGGTATGTTATAGTTTACAAACAAATACACCAAGAGATGCACGCTCCCTTTGAATGTAGCTCTGCTGCATACAAGGTTGAGAGAACTATAGAAAAATAGCATCATCTTCCTAACATGTATACATTTTCAGAAGCCATTGGATTCTGTGTGCTGTTGACATAACTGTGGAATGTAAATGCACCTCAGACCCCTTAACAGCTTGAGCTGACAGTTCTCTAAGAGAACATGAGTACATCTTGAGTGGAAGATGAAGAACAAGAGGAGGCCAAGGAGTTGGGATTTTCTGGTATGCCTCCTGTCTAACAAAGTTATCTTCAAGGGAAGAGCTCAAGACTCACCAGGGTTCACGTTTGTGTGGCAGGATAACAATGAATGAGAGGCCAGCCCTCTTTTCCACTTGTCTGGCACGATCTCCTGGCAAGGATGGGGTAGGAGTTTGCCAGGTGGCTACTGGACAAGGTCTCTTTAGGGGAGTATAACAAGGCTTCAGTCATCGCTTTTCATAAAGTGCTTTGGGATCCTTCAGGAAAGAGGACTGGTGAAATATTATTACTAACTCGCTTCAATTTTCAAACCAAATGGAACTATTTTCTCTAGTGTAATTATTGCTTCGAGCATTAGTGAATGTTCTTAAAATGGAGTGGATCTCATTTTTAAGTATCTACTTCTTAAAATGTGGAGAGAATGTTTTTAATTACTGTCTCTCAGGTCTGCTCACCAATTAGAAGGATGTGATAGCCTTGCAAATGGTTGCCAAGCATATACATGCAATGGCTTGCACTTTCCAGGCTGTCCTCCCTCATGAGTCTATATAGCAAGAGCAAAATCAAAGATGTATAGCCCGAAAAGCACTAGGTCTGGCTGGCTGAGGAGACAGACTCTTGCCTCTTCTGAGACATTGCTGAGAAGATGTATGGTGAATGTGTGGCTACATTCTTAGAGCAGTCAGCTCCTTGTGGCTTGGGAATGTATTTTACCATGATTCTTTGGCCTCTGTGGGACTTAGGATAGAGATAGACATACGGGAGGGCCTTAGACAATGATTTTTGAGGATTTTCACAAATGATGTGAGCTGAATATTACAAGTGAGAGTAAAGCAAGTTAGGAAAACCCTGGAAAAGGAGACCTGGGATAAGAAAGTTTCCTCCAGAGGCCTCAGATTGGACTCAAAAAGAATGAAAGACAAAAGTTCATCATATCCCAAACAAAACATAACAAAAACAATAAAACAAAACAAACAAAAAATCCTCAGACGTTGTAAAGTGTCTATAATTAGAAGATTGGCTGAATGAATATAGGACCGGAAATTAGAGAACATGGTTGTTTCTCACAAGAATGTATTATTAATAATTTAAACTGGGCTCACAAAGTGTTGCAAAGTGCAGGTACAGGAGAACCACCTGAACAAACAGCTAGCTATTGAGGATATAACATATCCACTTTTATACAGGAATATTGCTGATTTTTAAGTAGATTAAGTATGCCCATTGAAATCTAATGTGGATTATTCTTTTCATGGGCATGCCTTATTTCCTCATAGAAGATGAAAAAATAACCTTCTGTCCCCAGTATAAATTAGTGGGCTTGAAATTAATGCAGTTTTGGTCCAGTATGCCAGAACTTGCTGACCAAATGAGGGGTCAGAAGGGTGGGTCAGTTTTTGCCTTTGCTGCTTGTTGAATGGCTCCCATCTGGTTCACAGTTGCGGTCTTCCTCCCATGCCACCGCAATGGTCAGGATCAGAGAACTGCTTGGCTTCTTAGTTCTGGGCAATTCCAGAATCTTACTTCACAAACTCATTCAAAACATATACAATCTATCTTATTAATATAATTAGACATAAGTAAGAACTAAGTGCAGATGACCCTGTCATTCCTGTTATTAACCAGGAGGCATAATTTTAAATGACATTTCTCCCAAATTTGCTTTTTAATTAATTAGTTTAGATATCTACGACATGGAATTTGTATTCCCTGGCAACAAGGAGCTTTGTGATATTGGCAACCTGTTCGGTAAATGTTGAGCAAAGGACTTAAATTTGGAATTAGAAGTAGCTAGGTGATTTGCAAAATAGATAAGTAGCCTGTAGACACTCAGGAGTTGACTGGGTATGTACCAATTCCCAGTTGCACAGCCTATTATAAAAGAAGTAGCTCTGGGTTCTGACCCTAACTCTGAGACTAAACCAGCTCTGCAAACTCGAACAAATCACTTAACTTCTCTGGGCCTTAACTGACCTATCTGTAAACCCAAGGACTTAAACAAATTTTATGGTCCATTCTAGTTCTACCATTGACTCTTTGCATACACATAGAATTCACTTAGAAGAAAACTGCGTTTTAAAATCCTCCCAGGCATGAAAAAGGAGCTGTAGTGATTCTGATCAAAATTCTTTGGGCAGGGGGGGGTTCATTGAGTATAAAATCTCTTACAAAAATAAAGACTGAGCTCTGGGCTTTAGTTTCCTAATGACCATAGGCCATGGGCCAAATCTGTACCTTTCCAGTAGGGTAATTATTTATGTTCAAATCAAATGTTTTAAAAATGGAAGGGATCAGAATAACATTGTGAACAGGGGACTTTGTGTGAACTCCCGTGAGGAGGAATAGTAGAACTGTGTGGACAAGGATAGGGCCATAAAGAGCAATATTTAACTGAAATGCCTGTGAAGCAGAAAAGGACCATTTAGAATGTCAGTGAACTGAATGGGTCTTGGCTCCAGGAGATGAGAAGACTCATGACTTTTCTGAACATGCAGTGTGATTTGTCTTTGATTTGAGTTTCTTGTTCGTGGGAGATTCAGGTAAGGGGCAATGAGACCAAAGCAGGATTTCCAGGTGTTTTTGAGAATATCCTTGGAATGAACCACTGGCAGGGGCTTCTAAGGAGATTTTTCCCTGAGGCCAATGGGCTGGATGATCTTGGGGCATAATTGACAAGCGGAGGGATGGGTTGAAAGGGAAGGTAGACACCCCAGCCCTGAACAATCTGTTCCTTAACCTGGGATGTGGGGGGAGTGGATGTGCCTGTGAGGCTGTGAGGAGCCCATCACTGGCTGGTCATCTCTGCAGGGCACATTGTTGTTCAATGACAATTTCATCACCTAAGAATCCGGAGCAGATCCACTATGATTTTTAGAGACACAGCCCCTGAGGACTTACTTGACTTATCTTAGAATTGTAGAGGAAATACACTTTTGCTTATGTTTCTCTCTCTCGCCTTGTCTTGTTTATAATTCAGGGTATCCCTTAACTCAGCCATCTCCTTGCACCCTGGAACGGTTTATGAAGCTCATTTTCATGCTTGAATGGGAGCTGAGTGTACAGGAAGAGCTGCTTCCTGCCCTATTCTATCCTTGCAAGATAGAGCTAGGAAAGTGTCCTTTGCTTTTGTTTCTGGTGGTGTCCACACAGCACTCAGCAAAGAAAAGGTCTGTCCAAGGCCTACTTAATCAGATAAGTGTTGATGGATAAATTGGACTTGGTGATTCCCGAGAACCTTGTATTTGGAATAACCTGGTTAAGCTGACAAGGGAACCCAGGACAAGTCCACTTGACTCCATGCCCTAGAGACACAACCTGGGTCTTTTTCCCTCAAACTCTTCTAAAGGTTTAGAATGGAGGAAAAAGTATGTTAATCTTATTTTCATCTATAGAACTCCTCCTTATCAATCAAATTCATGAAAGAGCCTTAAACCCGGGGTCAGATTACAGACTCGGCTGCAGAACAGAGGGTATCTCTTTGACCTGGCCTACCTCAGCTGCAGGTGTCACCAACAGGGTGGCAAGTTTGAATCGTTGTGTCTCGGACTCCATGTTGACACAAAAGCTCCTCCATGCCCTTTCTAGGCTGATCTGGGAATAACACTGGCAACTCTGATCTCCATCCCCACTTTACTCTAAAAAAGAGGGTCTTAAATTTGTAACCTTTGGATTTGTAACATTCAAAACGTTTGAAAATGGGTAGGGATGTAGTGGGGCAGGCTGGGGGTAGGGTGATGTAAAATGCAAGGAGGAGGGGTGGAACAGTGGACAGCCAGGGTGGGCCTTCCTAAAGCATGCTGCTGAGTATTTCTGACACCGGGGAGGTGCTGGGGCCCTCCCGGCTCATCTCTGGGCTTGTGGGGCTGGGCAGGCCAGAGCGGCCTCCAGGGGGTGGGCTCAAGCCGGCCCACGGCTTCGTGTCCTGGGCCACCAGGGCCGCGGGGTAGGGCTCCACGTAGATGCGGTGGACTGAAGGCCTGGCGTCATGACTGCTGCTCTTCTGCTCCTCAGGGAGGCTGGCGGCATGGGCCAGGGCCAGGCCTCGGGGCCCATGGAGTGCAGGTCCCGGCTGCTCGGCCTCCCCTGCTTCCTGGGCCAATCCGCAGGCCCCGGACAGGTGCTGGGTGTAAATGCCCTCAGAGAGCGACAGTGACTGCGTCTCGCTGTGCATGCGCAGCCAGCGATGGTGGCGGCTGAAGCCCCCGTAGTGCTGGCGCTTGCCTGGCTTCCGCTTTCCCAGGAAGCCCAGCGGCGGCCGCGCGCCTGGCGCCATCTTGGCGTGGTTCTTCGGAGCAAAGCTCGTGAGAGTCAGGCTGTGGAGGAAGTCGGCACACGCATGGTCGGGATCTGGGCCCTGGACCAGGCCCTGGGGATCCTGGCTCTGCCCCGCAGGGCTCTTCATGTCGTGCACCTGGAGGACGTCGGGGGCGCTGCCGCTTAGGCCGCTTAAGGCCTGCTGCGCAATGTCGTGCGATGACAGGTATACTAGGTCCAGGTCTCGGGGACTCAGGGCGTCACTGGAGTCATAGTCGCTGTCAGTGGGGAGGAAGACTTCCGAGCAGGCTTCTTCATCAGAGCAGGGCTGTGAATCTGAAAATTCAGAAACGGATGTTAGGAAGAATATAAACACTTAGCTAGAGCCTGCTTCACGGTTGTAGGGTGGGTACATTAGGCACCTCCCCGCGCGCTCAGAAGGGCCCCGCACTTCCGTTTAATGCTCTGCTGTCATTGCTTGAAATTCTTAATAATTTTGAACAAGAGGCCTCACGTTTTCATTTTGCACGGGGCTCCACAAATTATATAGTTGCTCTGATCTTAGTTTAAGGGAAAGGAGAGAGAGGAACTCTGACAGGTCCAACCCTGACAGCAGTGGGGAACATTTCCTCGTTCCCCATGCATGCTTTTATTATTTGCTGGGTGTCTGTAGAGAGGATGAAACAGGAAACAAAGCTGGATGTTATTCATTCATTCTCTGTTCTTATTTTGGAGATGATTTTTGCATTTGACAAAGTAGCAGGAACTTAAAAGGGTGAAGGAAGAAGAGAAGACAGTCTGGTGGCCAAAGTCGGTCAATCTGGTTTCAGATCCTAGCTGCCTTCCACCTACTTGCTCTGTGATCTTGGGAATGTTACTTAACTTTTTTTGTGCTTCAGTTAACTTATCTGTAAAATGGGGATGATAATAGAACTTCTTACTTATGGTGGCTGAAAAATCGTGTATCTAAACACTTAACCACAGCACCAGGTGTTTAAAAGAAAATACAGAAACAGAAGTAAAGTTAGAGGCAGAAATAAGCCTCACAGTGCACACTGTAACGACCATGGGAGAGCTACAAGTTTAATTCTATAGATACTTGTCATTCAATGCACTAGTTGTTTATATATATATTTTTTCCCCAATCAGGTTGTGCATTTCTGTAGGGCAAGGACTGTCTAAAATCCTTCGACTTTCCCACAGAATTTAGCCCATAGCAGGTACTTGGTAAATACATGTTAATTTTGAAAACATGCAAATTCTCTTAAAAAGAACAACTAATTGCTAATCTGTAAAACTGAGATAATCCCAATAAAAAAATCTTAACAGAATTTTTAAATGGAATTTGATAAATTAATTTTGAAATTAATCTGGAAGAGAAAATTAATGAGAGTAGTCAACTTTTTTTTTTTAAGGATACAATAGGGAGGAGCCTGATTAGCAGATATCACAGAATACTATAGAGCTTTAGTTATTGAAACTTTGTAGTATTGGCGTAGAAATGGACAGATGGAGGTATAGAATAGAAAAATAAAGTCTAGAAACAGTTTTAATTCTCTGTGATAATTTAACATATGGTAAAGATAACATTTCAAAGTAGAGGAATGAATAGATTATTCAATATATAGTGGGATAATTGGCTATCCTTTTAGCAAAGCAATTAGAGAAAGTCCTACCTCATACCATATATAAAAATTAATCCCATTTGGGTAAAATATAACAAGCAAACTTAAAAGTATTAGAAGACAATATGTTTGTAATTTTTGGGTGGGAAGGTCTTTTTAAGCAAGACAAAACCCCAGAAGTCATAAAAGTGACTGATATATTTAGCTACATAAAAGTTTAATAGTTTATTGGCTGGGCGCGGTGGCTTACGCCTGTAATCCTAGCATTCTGGGAGGCCGAGGCAGGTGGTTCGCTCAAGGTCAGGAGTTCGAGACCAGTCTGAGCAAGAGCGAGACCCCCGTCTCTACTAAAAATAGAAAGAAATTATCTGGACAACTAAAAATATATATATAGAAAAAAAATCAGCCGGGCATGGTGGTGCATGCCTGTAGTCCCAGCTACTTGGGAGGCTGAGGCAGGAGGATCACTTGAGCCCAGGAGTTTGAGGTTGCTGTGAGCTAGGCTGACGCCACGGCACTCTAGCCAGGGCAATAGAGCCAGACTCTGTCTCAAAAAAAAAAAAAAGTTTAATAGTTTATAAAACAAATGATATCATAAACAAAGTAAAAAGGTAAGTGATAGATTGGAAAAAATAATAATGACATGTATAACTAAAGATTAATATCCAGGATATATAAAGAATTTCTAGAAATCAGTAAGGAGACAATGCAAATGGGCAAAAGGTAAGAACCAATGCTTTAAAGAATTACTAATTCAAATGACCAATAAACATTATTATGTTCAACCTAGACAGTAATTAGGAAATGGGAGTTAAAACTTCAGTGAGGCATTTTTTGCCCATCAAATTTAGAAAACACAAAAGAGTGATAATCTCATGTGTTGGTGACGTGTGGGAAATCAGAGACTCCCACATAATGATGGTGGGAGTATAAATTGGTACAGTTCTTTGGACAGCAATTTAGTAGATTATATTAAAAATGTTCATATCACTTGTCCCGGCAGGTCTTTATGTTTGAGAAAGGTATCTATATTTGAGAAATTGTTGGCATTTATACATGGAGGCATTTACAAGTTGTTTACTGCAGTAGGATTTATACAGTGAAAAACTAGAAATTATCTTGTGGTTGAGAGTGCTGTGAAAGGGAGACATAGAGGCACAGAAGCATTAAGAAATGGAGAATAATTTACTTGCTGAATTTTTCAAGGGAGTCCATATTCTGAAGGACTAGATTGCTGATTAAAAAAAAATTCAGGCATAAAGTTTGTTTTGGTAGGGAGTCAGTATCATGGTTTTTTCTATTTTAGGGACTAGAGCTAGATGGAATGCTTTTTTGTCTTGTTTATTTTAGGGTCAGGGTGTATATCACTTTTTTTTTTTTTTTCCCCTGACTGGATGAGCAGGGATGACATGCATACTTGCTCATAATTGGCCCGGCAAGATGTCAATTTTGCCTTCTCTCTGCTGGTTGTTACCCAATGTCCATTATCCTTTTTTTAGTTACAAAACATTAATTTTGTTTGGGACAGCGATACACTCGTATGAAAGACTACTTTTTTTTCCAGCTTCCCTTGCAGCTAGGCATGGCCATATAATTAAGTTCTGGCCACTGAGATGGAACTGGAAGTATTGTATCAAACTTCTGGAAGTCTGCATAAAGGGAGGTGGCTTAGCTGGGAGATGGGCCATTTCATTGTTCTTCTTTTCTTCCATCTGCCTGTAACAGGATGTGTTGGATAGGGTCATGAAACAACCTTGGAAATAGAAGCCACGTGCTAGGATGGTGGTGTTGAAAAACAGAGCTTGGTGTCTAAAGACCATAAAGTTCACATAGCAACCCTGAATTGTCTACCTCTGAGCTTCTTTCTCACAAGAAAGAAAGAAAATATCTTGTGTTTACGATTCTTATTTGGGTTTTCTATAACATGAATCTAAACTTAATCCTAAGTGATACAAACCTAAATGTTCATGAGTAGGAGAATGGTTAAATAAATCATGGCACATCTGTATTGTGGAATATTATCCAGCAGTTACAAAGGATGAGATCAATTTATATATTGTTCTTTAAATAATGGCTACCAAAAAAGGATTCCCTCTCCTGCTTTTTTGATTTCTTCTTGTCTGTTCAATGTTTTCCTCAAACATAATCTCCTTTAGGAAGCATCCCCCAACTGTCCCAAAAGGGATTGCTCACTTCTCTGTACTGCTGTAACACTCATTGTGCTTTGGCACTTAGCCTGTATAGATTTGTATCTAGATTAGTTATCTTTCTTATGTAAATATAACATTATGGTTTCCTGGTTAGACCATGAGCCCTTTTAGAGCAGAGATATTTAATTCATCCATTCATTCACAATGAAGATTCTGTATTGCTTGAGTTCCTGCTCTGACAGAAGCACTGTACTTGGTAATTGAGTGGATATAAAACTAATAAGAAATTATATCTGTCTCTACGGAGTTTACTATTTTAATGGAGGTATAAAGCAAATATGCATCCATAAGAGTGTGACAGAACATAGGTTTTATAACAGAAGTTTAGCAAATAAGATGCAAGTATATAGGAAAGGAGGATTACATTTTATTGGGACAGGATTGGTGAAATACTCAATCATTTCTTATTTATTTTTTACCTCCATTTGTTCATCACTATTCTCTGTATTAATTTATTTCTTCATCCACTTTCAAAAAGTGACTTGAGGCATCTTTTAATAATATGCAAACAATAAGAGGATTGTAAACCAGATAGGAAGAGGAAACAGTACAAGTAGTCCTGTTTGACTAGAATATGGGGAATAGAAATGGAATTTTGGTAAAATGAAGCTACAAATGAAGGATGCCAGTAATTGCACCCTTGGGAATTTATCCCAGAAAAATTAGGGCTTATTTTCATACAAGGACCTGTACATGAATATTCATATCAACTTTATTGGTAATAACCTCAAACTATTAATAGAAACTACCTAAATGTCCATCAGAGGGTGAATGGTTAAACACACTGTATTTCATACCACGAAATACAGCTCATCAATAAAAAGAAAGAATACCATGTATGTAACATTTGTGAAATAACATAACTTTAGAGATGAAGAACAGATTATTAATTGCCAGGGATAGGGATGGGGCGATGGGTAATACTATAAAAGGGTAACAGGAGTTTTGTGGTGATGTTACACTTGAGTGTCTTGTTTATGGTGGTAGTTACCCAAGGCTACGCATGATAAAATTGCATAGATTTGTATATGCAAGCCCATGTATGTGCATATGTGCGTGTGTGTGTACACACACACACGCACATACACACAGATGAGTTTATGTATAACTGGAGAAATCTGGATAAGCTCTATGGATTGTACCAACTTCTTGGTTTTGATATTGCACAAGGATTATATAAAATGGTAACATTAGTAGGGGGCTGAGGAAAGGGTACATGGGACTTTGTATACATTTTTTTCCTGTGTCTATAATTATTTCAAAATAAATGTTTTTTAAAAAGAGCATTTAATTTTTTAAAAAGGTAGAGTATAACCAGAGGAGTGTGTTGAATGTCTAGATAAGGAGTCTGTACCTAATTTTATAGCCAGTGGGTAGTTATTAAAGAATTTTGAAGAATTGACAAGATGAGACCTGTGATTTAGTATCCTAAATAGTAAGGTAGCAGGCTGGATATAAGATGAACTTGATGAGGAAGAGATATCAGGGAGGCTAGCTAGGA